CGATCATCGTCAAAGCCGTCCGGGGGTAGTTGGGCCGGTTGAACGTGTATGAGCTCATTGAGCATCGAGTATGCGTGCAGCAATACAGTCGTATGATCGCTGGAGAGCCAACTCAATTAGTAACAATGCTACAGTCAAACTGCATTCCGCATGGCATGACAGATATGTCGACATGACGGACATGGCATGACAAATATGTCGACATGACGGACATGACATGACAGATATGTCGACATGACGGGCATGGCATGACAGACATGTCGACATGACGGACATGGCATGACATGAAGGGCGATTGGTTTGTCATGCGTTCCAACTGTAGAGGGCGATTGTTTCTTTCCGTTAAGAGTCGCAACAGCTTCGAACAGCGCACTCCGGGATTACAGCAGGCTCGCAAGGCGTGTTCATTGAAACGAGCGAGGAAAAGGCATTCCAGTAGGAGGGCATCTGCCTAAGCGTGTTGGGGAAAGATTGAGGAATACTGTTCTAGATAGTGGGAGGAGTTGTAGGAACTTATGTTTTGGCTTACATCGACTGCAATGTATCTTGTTTGCCGATTTAATTTTGATGTGTCGAGAATGTGCGTGTAGACGGGCTGTAAAAACACGGATGTTCCGGACAAGCCGTTCCCGTGAATGTTAAAATAACTAATTTACAAATTACTTAAGCACAAGCTAGTACAATACACGCAGAGTTTGCATCTCAGCACGCGAATGGGACGTGCAACTGCACGCCGTCCGTTTCACGACACTGGTGTGCGCCATACAAGTTTATGAAAACTGCGCCTTTTATATGTGATCACTGTGGATAAGCGCATCAGCTTTTAAGCCATGTAATACATGAATATATGCGTATGAAGTGAATTATCAGAACATATGTCGATGAAAGCTGATAAGGTTCTCGCATTCGTCGTCATTTGCCGACGTTCACGGCTTTGTACAAAGTACGCGCCCAAATAATTTCAGTTGAAAAAGCTGGAGCCTGATTTGCTGGCGAAAACGCGGACACCTTTCAGCGATATATCTTGCAACTTGTGTGCAATACGTGCACGTGACCACGTGGCCGCCTGCAATGCTGTGCTCAGGTCCTTTGCGGTATCCTCAAGGCGGAACTGTTCCGGTGTTAATGTTAAAAGGTACACATCAAGACTTCGTTGTGGCAGTTGGCCGTTTCTTGTCCAGGCCCCGCTGTTCCTCAGCGACGCCCCATACATCTAGAGTCTAGGCCGGAGCAAGAGCCGGTCAAAAGGACTTTGTCAGTTCAACAAACGGTAAAAGACTGTTTTTACTTGTTATCCAGCGCATCACTGATTTCACCACACATGTTCGTTTTGCTCTATCCAGAGCTGTCAGCACACCTCCCACCCACCCATTCCCCCCCCCCCCCCCCCCCACCCCATTTTAGGCCCATGCGAAGCTGCAGCTTTGTGAAAAGGGAAAGTTTGATGTTATTCATAGAAACATCTTAATAAGACCACCCGGTATGATCACGGGAAAACAGATTTATCGTTCATGGAAGGTGGCTCAAGCTGTAAAAGACAGTCTGAAAATAATGGCGTGACCTGACGCGAGCTGACTACAGAGCGGTGTTCCCATATGACAGTTTCCGTGTAGACGGCACACGACAAATGCATCAAGTGTCCTACCAGGAAGCCCTTACACCTAAAAGCGAAACCGAAATTCCACGACCTCAGCACGTCGAGACATGTCGATAGCTGGAAGGACGGAGTAGACAGAGATTAACGAGTGAGTGATTGGGTGACCAGACGGCTCAGCAGAAGTTGTCGGACGGTCCTTAAAGGGGCATGTGCTCTGATGAGCGCTGAACCCATCCTTGTGGAGGTGTAATTTCCTATTCAGTTTGGGGAAGGCTTTGGTACCTCCAACTTTGAGAAGAAAATGGGCCAAATTATGGGTGCTGTCCGTTTTGGGGAGTATTTTGGGCGTAACTTTGGCTGTTTTTCCTCTTCATTCCTCCCCCCCCCATGCCAATGTCTTTTGCGGACTGAATGCCTCTGCACGCTTGAATATGCCCGTATGAAGGACGAACCGGCCAGTGTTTGCCACTCCACCGAGCTCACCCACCTGATGATACCTACGGGCCAAATTTGCGCGGTAGCTGCAGACTTGGTATATAAACAAGGACGTACGCATATAGTAGCCCTGAGAATACGTGGCTCCTCCTCACAAAGTCAGGGGCGTGTAATATGCGTGGCAAAAGTTGATACAATAAATATCAAGGCAGATACGCAACAACAATAAGATAGAGAACATCCGATGCTATTGTATGCCACGCAGAATTTCGCAGGCCTACGCCGCGTTTCGCGCCGTTTTCAGTGGGGTTATTTAGTTCTCATCCTCCCTTTTGTGCAACGTTGCGTTATACGGCTCAGGACCTAAAACAGACAATGTGGCACCATGTGTACAGGCGCCCCCCCCCCCCGCCCCCCTATCCCCAACTTGGAGGGCCTGTGAAGGGCCCATCCAGGCACGTTAAGGGCAAATTCTGAACTGTTGGAATGGGATTGGGATGGGATTGTGTAGGCATGTAAAGACTCATTCCGGCCTGTCGCCGGCTCATTCTTGCCTATCTAGGACTCATTCTGAGCAAAAGAGAGCACGTCTGGGGCTGTAGACGGCCCGTTCTGATCCAAGAAAGGCCCATTTTTTACTGTGGAGAGGCCATTCCGCCCTATAGAGGCCCAATCTGATCTGTAAACGACCGATTTTTGACTGGAGGGACCATACTGGACTGTATAGGGCCCACTCTAGCCTTTAGAGAGCCCATTGTGGCCTCTACAAGACCCATTCTGGTATGTCAAGGGTCATTATAAGAGTTGTAAGCGCAGAGGTTCATTATTGACTGTCGAGGGTCCATTCTGCCCAGCACGTGACTCATTCTGACTGAGGGCCCGTTCAGGCTCGTAGAGGAGCCATTATTCATCGTAGTTCCTACCATTGCGGCCTGTAGGGAGCTCATGCTGGCCTGCACAGCGCCTACTATTGACTGTAGAGGGCCAATTTTGGCTGGTAGAGGTCCCATTCTGACCTGTAGAGGGCCCATTGTGACCTGTAGAAGGCCCAGTGTGACCAGTGGAAGGCCCGTTGTTGACTGTGGACTGTGTTATTGACTTCAGGCCCGTTATTGACTGTATTTTGTCCTGAAGAGGGCTTCTGAAGTTACGGCGTGGATGTGGGGCCGTGGATAGGGGGCCATTGGTCCCTATTTTTTAAGGTAGGAGGGCAGCAATGTTAGCTGGCCTCCGCTTTTCCAGATTTAATTTACGTGTGGCTTATGCTTTGCAGTACCTTACGTGCGTGCAGATTTACCTAGCTCACCAGCCATCTTCCTCAAACGCACTGGACACAACTGCTTCACATGGTAAAAGGCGGCATCTTATCCTAGCAAGAACGGCGAACGGGATACTTTGGAGCAAAACCGAGGGTTCTCTGGTACCAAAGGCTCCTTTTGGTCTTTTCGCACAGCCTTGGTCCTTCTGTATGACTGCTTACAGTCCCCTCAGCATGCGTTCATGGATTTTAAGATGGTATGATGCATCTCTCTAAGGGCCCTGGAACGACCATGGGATCCCGCCCTGTGTCGCCAGAATGGCAGCCGAGATGCACCCCGCGCTGGAACGGAATGGCCCTTCAGCCCCGGGCCGGTAATGACAATGTGTCCCTTGTGTTTTACTCACGGGCGCCTTACCCGCAGGGCGTATGGGCTCTCAGAAGTGAGTGGATCGAAACGAGGTCAACAAGTCAAATTTGTCCGCCATGTCGGCCAATCTACAAACAATGCGGAAAAATTCCACCTTGAAAAAAGAAAAGCCGGTTGGTTCGGTTAATCCGCCGAGATGGCCTTGACGCGTCAGTGTTGTGCAAACAGTTTGACAGATGGAAGTTTCTTTGATGCCCGCCGCTGTTATCGTAATTATTATATTTTGAAGGTATGGTGAGGAGATTTCCACTAGACGTTTTTGTTTTATGATTATCTATGGTGTCTAATGTATTGCGGACATCAATTGGTGGGCAATTCAACACTTCAGCGTTAGGTACCAATGTGAACCATGACCTTGATCCTGCCCCCCCCCCCCCAATGTTTTGAAACGTCCCTACGCCTGTGATCTGTGGGGTCCTATTCTCACCTGAAGAGGACCCATTATTGGCTTAAAGGGCCCAATCCGTGTTGAAGAGACTATCTAGTCTTAGGCGCTAAGACTATCTAATCTTAGGCGCTCAATTCGACATTCTGGAGGTTGCCCCCTCCCCTCAACTTGAGTATAGTTTCCGCGCCCTTGCCTGTTAACCTCCCAAAAGACTTGCAATCAAATGAAACAAGCAGGGGTGAAGCTTACTATTCAGTTGGGAGGCTCAAGGCCCCCTTAACTTGGGCTTCAGCCCTCTCCCTCGTGCAGCTCTGACGAGGTGGTCCAAAGCTGGATAAAAATCCGTGTTATGGTTTCTCTCTGAGCTGGGCTTCGTCATTTTCACTGTCAAGCCCCTGCCCCCCCCCCCCCCCCCCAATTCATTTTGCAAAACTACGTCCCTGGTAATGAGAAGACAAGGTACGTAACCCTGGTGCGAACTGAAAGTGCCTACAGACATCTTTAACTTGCCAATGTTGTACCTGAACATATAACAACTACACGGACCTAACCATTACAACAAAAGATTTCAACCTTGCGATGAACGCTATTCTCTACAGTCAAACATGAGCTTAACGCGCCGTCAAACGAAACGTTTTCGTCATCCAGGAATGTGGGAATTTCGTCCTGTGAAAGCATCGAAGAATGTCTGAGCTTTACCGGAACTGGCATCAGTCCGTAGCTCACATATGGTGTTTCCACTAAGCCGCGGTGTATTTTCAGACAGTCATGCCTAAACACCTCGCTATTTCAATATGTACATTCGCAACTGACCTTGTGAATTGCCTCTTAACTTGGCGCGTCTGCGGTAAACTTGGTGGTTGAGTATTTCATATCCTGATACAAGAAGGAGGCGGGACGTCGTTGGAAACGGGAGAGGTGGGTTGTGTGGAGGGAGTAGATGGGTTGCTGCGGTTTAATATTTAATTAATGTTCTACCCAAATTGGGTATTTTCCCAGCAGGAACTGAATTATGCTGTTTTTTACAACTTTGTTTTACTTTGCTGCTGTTGCTGCACGCATGCTGTTTTTACAACTTTACCCAACCTTTTCCTTGGGTGCATTGAATCAGGGTCTAACGCCTTAGGTTATCAGAGTGCTCAACTGGTAGCACTTCAAGTGGATAAGGTGGTCATTCCGCGATCGCAGCCCTTTTAATGGCATCATTGTTTGTATCTCTTGGCAGTGCCAGGTGATGAGTTAAGGGCAAGCTGTTGTTGCTTTGTCCCTGCATGCAATGTCTCTTAGGGACAGGAAACAATAAGTGTTGCAGGCCTGGTGGCAATTGACTCTGCCCCTAACCTGTTAGGTTGAGTAACTAGATGCACATAGTCAACAGCACAATTTGCCCATTTCTACATCACATATGTTATGAAATCTGTTAGTCTGATGAATTTTCTCAGAATGGGCAGAAGGCTGGATATGATGATGAGAAACCCAGAGAATGTAAGGAGCATACCCAAGAAAGGATGTGTTAATATATAACAGTAATTACAGGTCCTAGGGTACATGGTGGACCCCAATGCTGTTGAGTTAAATTCAGGGGGAATTGGTTGGGATGCTTCAGAATGCTGTGGAGAAAATGGTTGCATCCATGCATTGACTTTGTTATGATTAACAGGCTGGAAAAGAGTGCAGTTTCTTCCAAAGCAGATGACTCCTACAGCCACAATTGTGTGGCTGCAGGAGTCATTTGAACAATAAGACATAAGAACAATTAGGGAATGTGTGAGCATGGCAAGCAGCTGCAAATCAATACCAGTGTTATCTGTTGCAGGCATGGACACCCAGCAGTTTTGTCTGAAGTGGGATGGGTTCCAGAGTTCCATCACGTCTGTGTTTGACCACCTGCGGCAAGATGAGGAGCTGGTCGACATCACCCTGTGCTGCGAGGGCCAGAGGGTGAAGGCTCACAGGATGATGCTGTCTGCTTGCAGCCCTTACTTCAGGGATCTGCTTAAGGTGAGTTTTGACTGTTCTCCCACTTGTATCATGGTGTGATGGAGAATGAAGTACCTCTCACAAGCTGGTTTGATGTATGCATTATATGACATATAATATGATGTGATGTGATGTATGCATCAACATATAGCCATTTTACTGCCATATCGGGCTGCCAAGCAGCCTAGTTTTCCTCTGCTTGCTTTAAACTTGAACTGGCTTATTGGAAACAGGTATATGGATTTCTCCATCTCCAAAAATGAAGCATTGTTCTCATGCAATGCTACTTTATATTTTTGTCCTTATTGTGTTGTGCTGCCTGCTGAGCATAGTTACTTTGGTCAAAAAAGGTCATCATCAGCTCACTCCTGATTTCATCCCTTCTTGGTTTCCAGAACAACCCATGTCAGCAGATGGTATTCTTCCTGAAGGACACGTCAGCCGTTGACCTGCTGGCCATCATAGAGTTCATGTACAAGGGCAGCGTGAATGTGGCCCAGAGCCAGCTGGCCAGCTTCATCAAGACGGCAGAGATGCTGCAGATCAGGGGTCTCAGTGGTGATGACGACAAGGTAAAGAAGTGTGACGCACCTCTGCAGGCAACCGTGCACTTGTATGTTCTTGGTAGATTCGATATTAAAGCACATAGGTAAGTATCAGGGGCGTTTTTAATCCCTTGGACCGCGATCTCGGCACCCCCGTCCGCCCGTGGCGCGAACGTGCCGCCGGCCCTTATTGGCCTTCGCGGCAACTGACGCATACTCCGACGACTATCACTCACTCGCACGCGTCGGCGCATCACCGAATGCCTGTCGTCGGCAGCCGACGCAACCCCCCTCCCCCTCAAGCGCCCCTCCCCCCGCCTGACGACCGCGCTTGCCGTGCCTTGCAGAGTGACACCAGTGGGGCGCGGTTCCAGCCGTCGGCTGCGCCTTGGTCGTTCGGCGCGCCGTCCTCGCCCGGCGGCGGCGGCGGCGGCGGTGGCGGCGGCGAGCCGGCGCCAAAGCGGCAGCGCAGCTCGGCGCCTTCGCCGCCCTCACCCCGCACCGAGCATCCGCCGCCGCCGCCTCCGCAGTCGCCGCCGCGGCCGCCGCCCCCGCCGCCGCTGCCTCCGCTGGCCGAGGTCAAGGTGGAGAAGGTGGACAGGCGCGACGCTGCCGAGGAGGACGGCGATGGTGGTCTGGACGCCTCGCTCGGCTATATGGCCGAGTACGAGGGCGGCTACGGCGATCCCGACCACTCGGTCAGCGCCGTGGCTGGAGCGGTTACCCCAGCGGCGGGTGAGTTATGGGCAGCTACTGTTTCTGTGTTCGTGACACGGCGGTGCCGAACCCGACCTCCTCTAGAAGGGTTGGGTCGGCAGTGGACCTGTCCCTGTTCGAGGAGCGGTCGCAGTGGCTCCTACCCCGCGCCATTGACTTTCCTTTGGGTGCGATATGGAGTGCTGTTCGTGGCTGACCTGTTTGCCTCTTGAGCAGGCTTGATACAGGTTTGCCTCGGCTTGGCGGGTTAGTAGCGGTTGTCTCAGTGCGATGCCTTGACGGTCCCTGGCCACGGACGTGACGGTAATTCTCGGATCCCGAAATGTGCAAGTAAAAATTGAATTGTTAGGTGAGGTTAGCTAAGATAACCTCTTTAGGTGAGGTCAGCTAAGCTGGCAGCTAAGCTGTAAGGTAACTCAGCTTATAGCGTGTCATCGTTTTCGTTCAGCAATATCGCACCTTCAAAGTTGATCGTACCATCGCACAGTTAGCTGTTTGTTTCTTTATGGAATCCGCCGCCGGTTGGCTCCCGCCACTGTTGGTACGTAATGTGTGGTGCCTTTTGACGGATGCTGAGCCGATTATAAGTTCAAACCAAACGATGAGTTCCTCGTATGTGGCGAGGACCGTACGCGGCGACCACGACCAGGAGATGATCCTCTTTAGGATGACGTCACTCGCGATGATGTCATCTCGCAGAACCTGCCCGCCGCTCCGCCACGGCCGTGTGAAATAACAAACAAGGAAAAAAGAAAGAAGCGACAGCGCGAACCCCCGATGACGTCGACATGCGCATCCGCCGTTTCAGGAGCGGCGGCGCCCTCCGGTGCCGCGCGTGGTCCCGGCCAGGCCTCCGTCTCCGTGCTGCCGCGGCTGCCGCGGGTGACGACGCTGACTCCCCGGCTGCCGAGCCCGGCCACCGCGGCGCCGCGCTCGGGCGCCTTGGGCGCCGTGGTGACCCGGGTGCTGTACTCGACGCCGGCCGGCGCCGGCCCCTCCCGGCCCGCCGAAGACGCCGCCAGTCAAGGTAATCTCGTCAGCCCGCGAGCAGGGATAGACGTCCATGTGGCTGTGTACAGCTGTGTCCGCGTGCGGTTGTTTGCGCATCTCAGGCGACGTGCTCTGCGGCTTGAGCCGATGTGTGGCAGGCATGTCCCTGGTGGTAAAGTCCTCGCCAAGGATAGGTTGTTGCGTAAACGCGGGCCGAAACGCTCCAGAACAGCGGTGCAGGTTCGCTGGTGAGCAATGGCGGATAGGTTCAGACCTGTGCTTGGCACGGGAAATCCGAATCGCTTTCAGGTTCAGACCTGTGCTTGGCACGGGGAATCTGAATCGCCGTCAGGTTCAGACACGTGATTGGCACGGGGGAATCTGAATCGCTTTCGGAATCATCCATAACAACCGTGCACTGTGCTGTATCAGTACACTGTGCAGACATCCATAACAGCGATTGTCGTCCCATTAAGGCTTTTACCCAGGCAGTAGAAAAGGCTGGCTCCTAAAGTAATGTTAGCGGAATGTATTTCTGTCTCTTTGTCCGAATCCGTTTCGGTCGAACAATTTCCCGTTGATTCGGAATCGGAGTCGACGCAAAGTTGTGTTGAGCTCTACGTTGTCGAAATCCGGTCGAAACCAACCCTCTGCATTGTGTCGGGTTCGCAATCCATTCTGTTGAAGTGGATTTAAGCGCAAGTGGCTTTGCGGCTCCACCCAAACCAGGCACGCATTGAAAACGTTTGGAAGAATGACTCCTAAATCGTTTTGGATTTTGTGTACCAGGTGATACCCATTTCATCACCATCACGTTTCGGGAAATAGAGAACCTGATGATGTATGTCGTGTTAGCGTGCGCATGCATCATCACTATTTATATATCTCTCCTATTGTCTCCTCTCGCCGGCGTCTGTGTAAAAGGGACGTTTGATGCGTAGCTCATGCTATGGTTTTTAGGGATGGGTCTTGAGCCTGGCTTAGATGTGTTTCGTGCGTTACGGTTTTCAGGAAGTCTGCTTTAATTCAAGTGTACTGATCAGGATGTTTGGCACGTACACGGCTGAAGCACAGCAAAATATTACGCTGTGATCCACTAGTTATGGTTCTTTTGCGTCTGTTTCTACATGGTACATATGGTGAATTGAATGGATGTGTTGACCGTTAATTTGCTGGCTGACCATGGCGCCACAGCGTGTTTTCATGACCTTAGCACTGGCTCTGGTGATTCCGTTGAGCACGACGACGCCTCTCAAGCGCCACCTATATGCGTGCGCGTCGCTCCACTGCACTGGTGTCCGTGGCCCTTAGACAGATGTTTTTAGGGCAGAAGGACGTGGTGGGAAAAGGACGTATGCATTAAGGACGTATGCAATGTCTCATAAGCAAGTGTAGGTCAGGTATAAAGTTCGTATGACGCAAGTACCAGCTCACTAACTTTGTTCCCCTCGTACTCTATCCTGACGAACTTCATCTCCGACAACTTCATCCTGACGAACGTTTAGCGTGCGCACCTTAACCCACGAACAATTAACATATGGACCGTTACTGTGTGTATTGTTGTCGGCAACTGTTGGCAGGCGGCGCAGATGGCGCTGCTGTCTCGCGTGACCGATCAGACGGCCTCTGCATGTCTCTTGCGCGGCGACAGCGGCTTGATCCCAGTGACTTGGAGGCGTCCCATGACCGGACGGAGGGTGGGGTGGGGGGGGGGGGGGGGGGGGAGGGCGAGCGGGTACTGCGCAATGGCTCCGAAGCTTATCTGTGAGGGAGAGGTAGGGTGTTGTTTGCGACGAGTTAGAGAAAACCTCCCAGCGAAGAGTGCGGATGGGGATGAACTCATTACTGGCACATATGAGTGTATGTCTGTATGGTTTGAATGGATTCAGATAGTGCCGATGAAAAGGCCATAATCCAGAATCATATTCATCTGAGGACTTGTATCGTTTCATCGTTTCATAAACATAAACTGTTGAAAGAGTTAGGGTTACAGGGAGAAGTAAAAATGATGTTACTTCCGAACAAATCGAGTGGGTCTGTAAATTCCTCAAAGGTCAAATAGCTATGATCTTTCTCAGTTATTATGTTGAAGTGCTGATTGAAACTTAAACGATGCGACGCAGCTTACGTTTGGTCTTGCTCGTTTCTCGACGTGGCTTTCTGAATAGGGATGGCGATATCGTACCTCGGCGTACAGGTGGCAGCACTGATGTCGCATGCAGCGTGTTGACAGAGACCTCGGTGAGTTCACTCGAACAACCTTGTCTTCGGATAAGACATTTTCCCTGTGATTCAGATTATATTCGTTTGTATCTCTCACGTGACGGTGCTCTTCTAAGTTGAAGAAAATCCGAGGTCCCGCTTTTAAGCGGTTTGGCCAGATGTTCTGCAGTCTTGGATTTGGAAGTAGTCCTTGCGAGGCATAGCTTCTTCCGAACCTCCTAGCCCCATCACTCAGCAGAAACAAACAGTGCTCGTTGGTTAACAGGCGTTGATACGTGGCTTTGAGGTCATATTGGGGCGATTCTCCCTGAGGGATTTTGTCGGTTAACAGGCGTTGACACGTGACTGTGAGGTCATATTGTGACGATTCTCCCTGAGGGATTTTGTCGGGTAACAGGTGCGATACGTGGCTTTGAGGTCACATTGTGACGATTCTCCCTGAGGGATTTCGTCGGTTACCAGTCGTTGACACGTGGCTGTGAGGTCATATTGTGACGGTTCTCCCTGAGGGATTTCGTCGGTTAACAGGCGTTGATACGTGGCTTTGAGGTCATATCGTGACGATTCTGCCTCAGGGATTTCGTCGGTTAACGCGTTGATACGTGGCTGTGAGGTCAAATTGTGGCGATTCTCCCTGAGGGGTGCATGACGTTTCTCCGGCGCCACACCAGCTGTTGTGACGTGGTTTCGGTCTCTGTACGTGTTGCCATATGCCTTGAGCCGTTGCTTTGTTGCTGTGATAGTCAGGCAGCGTGTTTTTTCCGGGCCGTTATACGTCGGTACAAAATTTCAGGCGAAAAAGTAAAAAGCGAAGTCGGGTGAACATTGAGGATTGTTCGAGGAAGCAAGTCGAAAGCGACAAAAAAGATAAAACGTCAATCAGAACCCACTTGAAAATGAAATTGATCAAAGCATAATGAGTGAAGAGTGATGCTTGTTGAGATGGAGGAATTAATGATATCAAAAGCGGGGGGGATAAAAGGAAGCAAGGAACGCATTGTGTTCTTCCTCTTTCGGTACTGAATCCGCACTTCTTATATTGAAAATAATTGGTTGAAAATGCTTTTATCGCGGGGACGTCTCCAGGCGCCCCCATATATATCAGCAATGTATATGTATATATATATATATATATATATATATATATATATATATATATATTATATATTATATATATATATATATATATATATAGGTATGTATGCATGCTGAATATATGTAATTTATATATATATATATATATATATATATATATATATGTATACGTCGTTTAGATGGCGACTCCGTGCATGCGAAGGTCGATTATTTTGCACTTAAGACCTTACTACCTGTCATGTTGAAAGGGACGTTGGTTCTCTGGATGGGACAGGAGCGTTCCAATGCTAGTTGGTCAGCATGATGCTAAAATGAAACTACATTCCCTTCGAATGAGCGTAATACTGGCACTGGACCGTCTCAATTGGCGGCTGACTCTTGGCAATCTCAGGCA